AGAATATAGACTAATAACAGGCAAAAAATAGACAAATTCACTTATCTGTCAAAATTTTCCTGGCTTTCTAATTATGCAACAAGAGCCATTAGAAATTCATTCAAGCTAGTCATAACTTTCCCACGGGAACAATGTTGCTACTCTGAGTAAAATTTACGATTATCTGTTCAAAACACAATGTTATACAATATGTCATTTGATAGATGAAAACCTTGATTTTCTATTGGTTATAGGTGATATATAATGAAATGTAAGAGATAAATATCAAGGAATTGTGAAAAAGAGGATGTGACAAGAGGGGTCTGATTTTCTATTTGATAGCTCTGTAACCAAACAAAATTGAAGGCTATAAAAATTATGGTCTATTTGAGCAATAAAGATTTTATAGAGAATATTTTTATGTTTAATTTCGTACATTTTCGAGGGGTGATGGATAAAATTGGGATGATGACATGCTAAGACAAAATGTGTCACGTGGGTTACACAAGTGGAAATTGAGGATTTTTTTATGTATTTCCTTGTAGAACTAAGAACTTAAAACTTGTATACTATTGAAATATGGATTATTAGCTCAGATTTTATGCTATTCTAATTGGTATAACATAAACAAAAAGTAGTTTAATAAAATTTTGAATGTAAGACACTAAAACCTTGTGTCATGCACAGTAAAGGGTACCCGGGGTGTAAGGGTTAATTAAAAAAGTCTTATTTAATGTAGTTATCTGCAGTTGCACTCTGAATAGTTCACATGCAAGGTGATTTTTATTTTGAGTATAAATATACTATTTATTATCATGCAGTTTTCACATTTCTTTTGAATTATCTCTAGAACCTCCTAAATGAATATCAAAAGTTTAATGTAAATGTTTTATATATCATTTTCCATTTTCTCTACTATATCACTAAATCTAGCTATCATCAACATAAAGTGCAATGAAATGTTTACAATTAAGAAATAGACAAAATGTGCAAACCAATTACTTTTACATAGGATATCTTAAAAGATATTTTTTTAATATGCATAATTTCATGTCTTTATCTTTTCACTTATAGTTTATTTTTAACTTTCACTTTTATTATTTATCGCGAAACATCCCCTGGTGCCCACTGTTCAAGAAAGACACGCCTTAGCAACAGGCAAAAGTTTTTGCACATGTCCTGGGTTTAGAAGTCATGACAAGATAGGAGAGAAATAAGTAAACTTATAAAAAATCATTAAACCTTTCAAATAAGAATTTCAAAAAACAAATAATACATAATTAATTAAAATATAAAAGTAAAACCTAAATGCAATTTAACTGTCTATCAATCTAATATGTATAAAGTGAGAAAGTATTTGCCAAATGCCCACTCTCAACAATGTACTTGCACTCATTTCTCCCTGTGTGAAACAGATGTATAAAGACATGTTCCTATCACAGTAACGACCTTCAAGAGTGAAATCTGCTCTTTCTGTTGGTTATAAGTATGCCATTCACCTTACAACTGTAGCTTAGCAACTCAGCTTCTACTTTGAAAGTGGGTGTGACTTATCTTCTACTCTGGAATTATTCAGTGGCTTTAGTTCTTGAAATGTCCCCAGTTACATTTACAAGAACTT